CCTATTCATGATAGTTCAGTTATTGTCCATAATGTTTGTTTATATAACAAGAAAGAAATAGACATGTTGTTTACTTATTTCGTCTCATTTAACATTGATTTATATATTTTGACGACTGTTGACAATCGCAAATAGGCGAGTATATTATACATAAGCATGTAATATGAACTGTATAGTACACAATCATATGTAAGTACTTGATTTCTTGAATAAAATCAATGATAAATATTTCATTCAATATGTACTCCGTTAGCCATATATATGGAGAGTGTGTGTGTGTATGTGACACCTTACAAATGTTTACACTAATCAATAAATTTTTCTTGGATTAAAATATTGATTTAGATGTTGAGTCCCAGATTTAACTGGATTTCTGTGTTATTTACTATGAAATTGAAAAATCTCCATAATCACTGCATAGTAACTAGTTATGCGCTTATTTGTGACCAACTCTGAAAAGTAATTTTAGAGTTCTAGTGAGAAACCATAATTAATAGTGTTCAACAATGTCAAATGTAAACCGATTATTCACAAAATACATAAGAAGATGACAAGACTATAGGACTAATCGACTGAAGTTAGATATTAACATTGTAAAATCCTGACACTGGTATGAAAGTTTGGTGCTATCGAGCAAAACTGAAGATGCTTAGCTCGAGCTCATGTAAGTGTATGTACTTCTGAGAAGTCCCTACGAGGATAAAGCATCTATCCAGTGTTTCCGGGTTTGCAATGGTTATTGAACTACGAACAATTCATGTTCACTATGGAAAAAATACCTATCCGAAATCGATTGTGTTAAAAATATTTGACTTTTTTTTATAAAAAGGCGATTGATTGTATTATTTAAAAGCTTTTATACTCAGTCAGCCAGTCAGTCAATCGACTACAACGTAAGACCAGGCATTTATATATGCATCCGTCCAAGTTACCACTTCTCATTAGCACAACAAGATGAACACTAAATTAATAGAAGTAGTTACTTCAATGAAAAGATTATACTAACAGCAGTAAAAATTAGTTACTTTAACACATAAGTGTTTACATCTCTAAGGCAATTTTTTTGTCTAAACACTGTTCCCAGTGTTATCTCAATTGCTTTTATTAATTAACTCATCTACCAGATACATATTAGTTTATTTGTTTGTAAATTACACATTGTAAGTATGAAGGATAGTGATACTGCTTGGTTGCACAGGCTAAAATAGGTTTCAAGCCCATGAATTCATGGTTGAAAGTTAAACAGTATAACAACTGAGCCAAAATTACACTACTATTTCATACATGTTAACAGACTAATTCTTCATTTTAAAAAAAACTTAACAAGCTTTCTGAATTGGTGAAAACCGGTGTAATGATTTGTACTGGTATACTATAATATATCATAATAATTTAATGTTTAAACGATGATTAATAAAGTAACTTAGAATCACACTCTTAATCTCAATATTTTCTGAATGAAAATACATTGACACTATGCTAGATTTGAAGTTATTACGAGTTCACTTAGACAGCGAACGGTACAAAGACTCAGTGATCAAAACCAATAAGCTAGATATTCGATGCGTTCCAGCCCCGAGAACTAGAGGAAGTCCAAGCTTAAAATGGGGAAGTATATTCTTCAAACAGTCGGAAACGAGCGATCACAACAAACACAAATCAAAACGTATATATACAGCACAAAACAGTCCTTGTGGAGAGTTACCAAATAACATACTAAATGACGCAACGGACCAATAACATTTAAGATATTTCTCAAGTGTGAAATACGGCATGAAGATGACAAGAGCGCTTTTGGCTTGAAAACAAAGAAGTTCACATTTTCGAAATAAAATTACAAAATTAGGTCATTTTTCGAGTTAGTTCTTGCAATCTAACGTCCCCAACACACTGACTAATAAAATCTCTGAAAAGATTTTTCAGGATCATTACTAGGTATCAACATTCCTAAAGAGTCGTTCATAAGGACAAAACTCTTGTTCAATGTTGCTTAATTTTTGAAAATGCTATAGTTAAACCCACATAACTTGTTCTAACTCCTGGACAGGCCAATTTATCCATTCTTCTTGAATCACGTCGGGCTCACCATTTTAGTGGCCCGGGATCTGATTCCAGTTATATCGTATAAATGATTGTTGTCAAAATATAAATTCTGGTTATCCTCAAATATAATTATCGACTTAAATTGCTTTAGTGTATAACGGAATTAAATAAGTCAAATATGAGAATGGATATTTAAATACGTATATTTTGTACACTCGTTAATCAGAACAGACAATCAGAGAATTGCAGCGAATGAAGCGAAAAAGAGAGAGCGAAACGAAACGAAAAGTCGCTCAATGGAGACGGCGTGTCAGCCAACTCCACAAAGTACACGAATTATATACTAGGATAGCCAGGATGTATATTTTGACAACAATCATTCATACGATATAACTAGAATCAAATCCCAGGCCACTAAAGATATACAAAGAACTGGAGTACACTAAATCATTGATTATTTAATTCACACATTAACTATAGATTAATTGAGAAAGTAACTTATCAAAAATACGGTTAGTTATTAATAATGACACAATTCCTATGACATATGACAGTTGACTTGACAAAGTAGATATTTTTAATAAACTTAAATCATGTTTGCATTATATTAATAGTGATTAGGTGACTACCTATTGAATGATACACACTACTGAAATGAGTAATCACAGACTGAACATGTTAAATGGTTGTATCTTTGTTCTGTTGATTGATATGAATCCACAATAATCAACTTTATTAACTTACAGGATATTTAGACGTTATATACTAATCAATAACGTGTCAAAGATTGATACCAGTAATCGATTAGTTGTCTGTATAAAAGTATAATCATAAAAAATAACAATATGTTCTGTTGTAATTATCGGGATGCAGGGTATTAGGGAATGATGGTAAATCAGTTGATAAGGTTGTGAATCTCCATCGACTGAGATGGTTGGGTCACGTGTTACATATGCCTTAACACTGATTACCACGACGCACAATGCTGACAGGTGTTGAGAATGGTTGGAAGTTAGAGACGGTCAAACCAGAACGTAATATCAGTGCTTGAAGCCATTAACTTCTAGACTGAGCCATGTTGTTAGATGCAGACTACTTGGTTGGGGTCCGCGTGACTATCGTAATCAATGGTTGGAGATTCTTCGTGACATAGTTCAGAATCTATCACAATAGCGTAAGTGTATACACTCACTCTCTTCTTTTAAACCGTGAGATTAAAATCGTTTCATATCTTTCATTCTACAACCTAATTCTTTCATCCTGTACTCTATCCTTATACACAAACTTTCTTATACATATTACTATCATCGAAGTAACTACTTCTATGAATTTGGTGTTCATCTTGTTGTACTAATGAAGTGTGACAACTTAGATCAATGCATATATATACCTTGTCTTACATTGTAGCTAATTGACTGAACAAAACTGACTGTTATAATGATCATAAGCTAAGTTTGACTTAATAAGTTCAAAGAATTAGATCATTAAATAGATTAATTTTACTATTATTATTATCTATTGTATATCTACAATGATCTAATTAAGTAATAGAATGTTCTAAAATTTTCAACTATAGATTTCATTCATTTAAACCACTTAATAATATAACTTAATCTAACCATTAATAAATGATGCTTAATATGTCAACTATTTTTTAGTCAATATTAGTCTTAAAATGATTGACTATTGACTGTTGTTAAATATTAACAACTTTACAAACAAACAAACAAACAAACAAACCAAAAAAAATAAAAAGAAACTTGACATTTTCTCTTTCTACTATAATCCTCCTCTATTAGTATTATTATGATTAGTAGTAGTAGTAGTGCTAATAGTAGTAGTAGTAGTAGTAGTAATAATAATAATAATGGTAGTAATAACCTTACTTTAGACATTAAAAACCAACTGTTACCACTTTTATTTCTTTCTTAAAGAATATAAAAATGTATAGACAAAATTTTACATATGTTGTATATTTCCTCTTTTTTTTGTTTTTTAAAGAAAAAGAAAAAAGAGAAAAAAAGAAAAAAAACATAAATAATTCAAAAAAATATATTTTTTTTATTCCCAGAAAGATAAAAACCCACATAAAAAAAAACTTAAAATGTTAATAATCTAATAATTACTAAATTTCCCTATGTAACAACCCATGTATGTATGTATGTTTGTCTATTTGTATGTGTGTATGTATGTATGTGTGCGTGCGTGTGTGTGTAACTGAGGGAATGAATATCTGTAATAATATTTAAAAAAAATTTTTTTTTTTAAAGTGGCCTTGTTATCATCTCAATGAGATTATCAACCCTAGATCAAAACATAAACACCTAATACTTATATATCTCCTATCAGAAACTGATGTATAAATGACACAACAAGTAAACTTTAATGTTTGGTTATTCGATTTCTTTTTCTTCTTAATGGAAAAAGAAATTTAAATAAAAAGAAAAAAGCAACAACAACAACAAACTACACGAACATTAAACTGGTGTGTGTGTGTGTGCATGTACGTTTAAAGAAAGCCATTAGTTCTTCTGTTACATTTTACAAGAGAAAAAAAAAAACAAAATGAACAGGAAAATGTCCTGTTCTTTTACTACTTATTTTTCTTATAGACGAAAACAAAGTCATAAAATATATATATATATATATATGGTACTATTCTTCTTTTTTCTTTTTTTTGGTACAAGAAAGTACTTTATCTACTGTCAGTTCTTTGAAAGAATTAGTATAAGTGTGAATAGTATTACATTAGCAAGCATAGAAGATAACCAATGACAATGATATATATTATATACATATGTTTACAATAACATAATATGAATAAAGCTTAGATTATTAGTATAAATGATGATTAAGTTAAAGCCTTTTTTTAAAAAATTTTTAATACTCTAGGTAAAAGATGATAAATAGTACATGAAATAATCATAGACAAAATGTAAATGTAATATGTAACTTACTTTTACAGTTTCTCTCTCTCTCTATATATATATATATAAATTTATCCATTTCAGTTTCATACATTTAAGATCAAATATCTTCACTTTTTTCTCTTTTTGTTATTCCAATAATTATTAATTTCCATTTATTATGTTCCGAGTTTTCTTGTGTGTGTGTGTGTTTGTTTTATTGTTGGTAAATGTTATTGACGATAAGACAAAGATTCACCATGTAACCATGTAGTTGTTGTTGTAATGGTAATGTAGTAGTTCCGAAGTTGTTTTTTTAAATTTTCATTCCTATCATACATAAAAAAAATTTAAATAATGGTGCACAATGCATACAATTTATGTGGACACAAGGTCATTCGAAAATTAACCAATAGGAATTTAGAGATTATATTAATTCAACCAATCATAAGAATTGAGTCATCCTGATTAGTTTCGAATATGATTGGTTAATAAATAGACAACTGAATTAGTATTGATATTAGATGGGGTTTTGTGATGATTGTAGATTGAGATCATGAATCAATTGAAACTAGATCACCATAGAAAACCTGGAAGCAGTGGACGTCTATTTCGTCCTATCGTGGAACTCCCTAGTAGTGCACATCCACGATTGTGATAAGGTTTATTTGAATGTTTCGATTGATGTTTAGGACTACAATTAATCAATGTCATATTGGTATATATGCATCCTATGTGGATTGCCTCGATATTGCTTTAATTCATAAATATTTTAAGCAAAGATGGATAATGGCTAGCAGGATGCGCGTTTCGTCCTCTGGATGTACCTGCCACATCTCAGAGTTGATGTTCACTTTAGGAACCGAACGTAGTACTGTTCGCTTCAAACTTCATTGTGTTATCCACTTAGCTATTGAGTCGTGATAGCCACCTGATTGTACAATAAGGTGCAGTTTAAATTCAATCAGTATTGTTTACTTGAATCTTCCCATTTTTATTTAGGACTGCAAATGATCAGTCTCTTTGTTTAATATACAACTGATCTTGAATTTATTTAATTGTTGGTTAGGTTGCTAGAATAATTATGATCAGAATGGAGTTTTTGGAGATCTAACTTACATTGACTCATGAATTCAACTATTCAAAAATAATTCTCATACTGTAATGTGTATAACCAAACTGTAAACCGTATATGATCTTAAGTGAAAATTATTAATTCATTTTACTAATTTTTTTTTAAATATACATTCCAGAATCATTTACAACATCAATTCTGAGATGCAGGTACATCCAGTTTATGAATTCCAAATAGGATGAAATGCACGTCAGGGATTCCACTACTAGCTACTATCAATCTTTGATATGACAGTCTGTTTTTTATAGGATTCTCTTGGATGAATTCTACGTAAGCACAAAATGACAATTTTTACACACTGTAATAAAATTAGTAATCATGTTGTATTAACTTTTTGTTTAGCTAAAAAGACTAAAAAGTTTACGATAATACACTTATGAATACGAATTTTATAATATTCATGACAAGGGATCTTTGATGAATAGAAGTGAAAGATCGATTGTTCCGTCCACTTAGGGTGCGCTTGACTATCGTAACCAATGGTTGGAGACTCTGGGTGACATGGCTTAGAATCTATCACAATGGCGTCGGTGTATACACTCTCTGTCTTCCCTTAAACTATGAATTTAAAATCGCTTCATATCTTTCTTCCTTCGAACTAATTCATTCTTCGTGTACTACATCCTTACATGCAATCTTGTTTTATATATTACCACCACTGAATTAACTACTTCAATGAATCCGGTATTCATCTTGTTGTGCTGATGAGGTATGGCAACTTGGATCGATACATATATGTGCTTGATCCTACGTTGTACCTGATTGACTGAGTGGTTGAATTGATGTCCACTTAATATTTATCTCAAGGGTCAATCAACAAATTAGGAAACTTGGAGGGATACTTTGTGCTGAGATTTCTATATTGTACCAAAAACATGATATTGAATAAAGCCAATAAAAGTAATAAATTTCCTGAATAATAATAACTTTAACGACCGAACTGCCAGTATTCTGTTTGAACGCAGGACTGACGAACCAAAATGTATTTGAATAGGCCAGACTACGTTTTTGAGACACTCGTATCAAATTACACCAAAACACAAACTCTGTGCACAATTTAAACGGTTCTAATTTAAGAAATAGAACAAATTATATCAAAAATACAAAATACCTCAAACGGTACAGCCTGTGCTATGCAGTCAAAAGTTTCGCTAACGCAAAGCCGCGCGCTAAACAATAAAAGAAACAGTTAATACCAAAGGGTTCGATACCTGAGAATCAATAAAAATATTCCCAACAAAATGGGATCAAATATCTATCTGCAGGGATTCCAGCAATCCTCCTAGGCAGACAGTCAAATGGTTAACAGTCACACACTGAGTCACGCCGTGACCTTCAGCTTAGTCAAACACGACCTTACCGTCAATAGTCCGGAAACATGCACTAGAAATTTAGGTAACAAAAGATAAGTCATTAATCAAAATCACGTAATAAAAGCTCAAACGAGGAAGACTGAAGAACAAAATGTATGGTTAAACGAGATCTGAACAAAGATTAAAATACACAGCAGGGAGAAGAAACAAATAAATGACAGTACTGTCCAACAAAAAGGCGTTGGATGGATTTTCATCGTTCTCTTTCCGTTACAATATCAATAACACTCTCTTTCTCCAATACCATACGTTTGATTTCGATGATAAACTCTAAGCAGAATACATACAAAATCTCAAAAAATTTCTACTTGTGTAAACATTTAATTTCCGAATATTCTAAAAATGTATTTAAAGAATGTACAAATTGTGATAAGTTGACGTTCACATTCATCACCTTATGTTTACGACCATTTTTACTTTTATGATGTTGATATGTGAAATCTATTGTGATCGCCTATTATTTTTCCTCTGGATCGATGAGGAGAAAAATATATCGATCACCACGTTATCACTTCTTGAGTTTCTCATGAACCAAATTCGTTATAGGTTGTAGATATCTAATTACAGTTTGTGTGTACATGCGGTCAGTGAATACAATTAGTGAATAAATAAATAGAATGGGTTTTGTGGAGAATTGGTCATTTCAATAGTTGAAATCATGAATCAATTGAAGCTAGACCACCATGGAAAACCTGGAAGCACTGGACGGCCGTTTCGTCCTAGTATGGGACTCCTCAGCAGTGCGCATCCACGGTGGCGCAACTTCGTGGATTAATTGAAGTTAGACATTAACACCGTTGGATGCCGGCTCAGTGGTCTAGTTGGTTAAGCGCCTGGCGCGAGACTGATAGGTCCTGGGTTCGAATCCCGCGGGGTGCGGGATCGTGGATGCGCACTGCTGAGGAGTCCCATACTAGGACGAAACGGCCGTCCAGTGCTTCCAGGTTTTCCATGGTGGTCTAGCTTCAATGGATTCATGATTTCAACTATTGAAATAAATAAATAAATTAAACGGGAATTTATAACAATAAATACGGATTTGGAATAGTAGTATCTCAATGATAATAAGTATGCTGTTAAATCTGAAGGTTTTGAATTCGACTCCGTGTAATGCTTCTGAGTACGTAATATTGAAGAGACACAAATCAGTACAAAGAAGCTGAAATGTATTTCTCAACTTTTGACGAGATTTACATTTGTATCCTTAAAATGTTTATTGTCTAAAACCAAGGAGTTTATTGATAATAATATAAACTAGACAAAATATCGTTAACAGTATATCCCAGAATAATTGTTTCGTCCTAATCGGAACTCATTAATGTTTGACGTAGAAAACTGTCGGCTTCACTGCCTAATCTGAGCATCAAATTTGAGATTCATGTATATCTGAATCTCAAATAGAATGTAACGAGTGTCCTGGATTTCACTACTAGATGTCATTCATTCATTCCACCCCCTCCCCCAAAAAAAAACTAATTTCAACATGCATATATCAAGGCAATCTAGTCAAGATTTAAATCTCCCAATAAAGACAACTATTTATTTATAAAACATAAATTATAATTTATCAAATTGAATTAGATTTAATTATTTAAACTAATAAATAAAAATGCTCACTAGTGACTGGTTTCAAGAGGTATTTTCTGAAGTTCTAGAGTGAGAAATAGTGACCAGTGGAGTTCAACTGAGTCTGTTGTAGAAGCAGTTACTCACTGAAGACAATAGTGGATGAATCACTCAATTGAGTAGATTAGTTGAAGTTAGATATTAACACCATTAGACGCCTGTTGGCTTAGTAGTCTAAAGTTTAGGCGTTCGCGTGCGAGACTGATAGGTTTTGGGTTAGAATCTTGCGAGATGGGATTGTAGATGCGCACTGCTGAAGAGTTCAAAAATTAGACGAAACGGTCTTCCAGTGCTTTCATGTTTGACTGTCAAAATTATCAAGATGTGTAAATTTTAATAATAGTTTTCATCATGAATTAACATAAGGATAGAAGCAGAATAAGGTGAATATCAAAAGATGTATGATTATTCCATGTCACTGTTCGTTTATCTGTGAAGTTATCAACTATTTATTTTTTTTTAAGCCCATTATACATTTCATCACGTATATTAAAGGTTCTTCAATTCTTTTATTGAAGAATTGTTTAAGAACTATGTTCATTAATGACTAGTTACATAATGAACTCATAGTTTGAATAAGACATTGTAATTAATATTGACCAATCATTATCTGAAGTAAGATGGTAGTTGGAGATAGTCAATTACCTCTAACGACTATCTTATCTCAACGTAATACACGCAATATCAAGTCACCTAAACTGATGACCAGTATCATTCGAACTGAACCAAGAAGGACCTGACATACATGGCATTGATCAATCAATTGTAAATTACACACATAACAATGATTGTTGTATTAATGAGGTATGGCAACTTAGACCGATGCAGATATGTAACGGGTCCTATGTTGTAGCTGACTGACTGACATAACTATGAACTCCAATTCAGTAGTTTAAAAGTATTATATTCATCATAAAATCTAAAGTTTCTATTATTAACTCTATATCATAAATGCATGTAATACATTTAAACTTTATATTAAAACTAATCACTTGTTCAATAGTAATTTGTTGTTTACAGTCTTAAATCGAGTTAATTACTACAACTCTATAAGTAAGTAAGTAAGTAAGTAAGTAAGTAAGTAAGTAAGTAAGTAACTAAGCAAGTAAGTAAGTAAGTAACTAAGCAAGTAAGTAACTAAGCAAGTAAGTAAGTAAGTAAGTAAGTGAGTAAGTAAGTAAGTGAGTAAGTGAGTAAGTGAGTAAGTGAGTAAGTGAGTAAGTGAGTAA